TGTCTTTTCAGTTGGAAATCACCTCGTACAAACTCTTGGATAATATTCCCAGCTGATGAGCTAATGGTACTTTATCATTTCCTTCAAGTTCACCATCTGTATGTGGTGATCCACTTATAATCCCCTGATTAATTCATAAATAACAAGAAGATTTAGTTTATAATCTACAAGTATGGTTCATCATTAATGTAACGAGCCAAATAGGCTAAACCATGGTATGTGTTCTAGAGCATTACGACTAGATTTATTGATGGCTCCTCTCCAGCTTCATTATCTGCAAATTAAGCCACAAATAAAAAACTAAAAAACAGCTTTAAGCGATTATATCACTACTTGGCTTGAAATTGATTAAAAAATAATAATAATAATAATTACCGTCCAATATTCTTTGTGCGATGATTGGAGCAAGTATGCCAGAATAAGAGTCAGTAGCGATAAAAAATCGGTTTGGGATGAACTGAGGATGCTCACTCAACCACTGCATTGAGTTCAAAAATTTGATGAATTAGTACACAAACTTTTATGGTGTTTCCGTAACTCCTATTTTCACAAAAGACAACTTATTTTGTGAAAAATTCCTTCACCTTTCTTATAAATACATGAGATTGATTCACTGATTCTAAGTCTGAGATACTGTAATCCGATGCATTTGTTGAATAGGAATAACCAGAGCCAACAGGGACATCCGCAAATATTATACTGGCACTCTGCAAAATTATCACCATCATACAATCATAATATATCATTTCCCTACCATCAGTCGTCCACATATTGTTTAAATTTTGTACCTTTGTCCATGTGTAGGGGTACAAATGTAACGTTGGCAAGCCACCAGTGTAATAAGCATCATCAAATTGTAGTGGTCCTGAAAAAATAGTAGACATAGTCTGCAATTAAATTTTATGGTCCTTAACATATTATAGGTGGCATGCATTGCAGAACAATATCTGAAAATACCAGTTTGGAAGAGGAAGCCATTCAAAGCAGCACAACCAGGGCCTCCAACTATATAATAAAGAACAGGATCCACTTCAGGATTTCCTTGTGACTCCACAAACAAGTAGAAGAGTTCTGAATTCCCCACGCTAACATATCTGAGTTTGCAAAATCTCCCATATCAGTAGTTACAAATATAAGTTAAAATGCAAGTAAAAAATGAAAAAAAAACTGACCCAGTTTCAAGTTTGAAAGGTAAAACACCGGGAAAGCCTGGTAAGGTCCGAACTATTGAGCCACAATCCGCATTTCGAAAAAGCGTAAAAACAAACACTGACAAGAAACAAAAGAAGCTAAAGCGAACGGTGTACTTTGATGCCATTGTGTATGCAAAATCACAAAACAACTATCGCTGTCATATGATATCTTACCTAAAGTTATCTCATTTATATGATTATGAAGATTGCTAAAGGTCTGCAGTGAACAGTAAAAGATGAAGCTCCCATCTTCCGTTCCAGTTAAATTTTTAGGTACATAAAATTAGTTGGCGGTAAGTCAACTGCACTTTTCATTGTCTTTAAATTTGTGTAACGTTACTTATATATATAATTCCATAGCGAAAGTCGTTTATAAAAGTATTTATTAATGGATTTCAAAATTTATAATTAATAATTTTCAAATTCTTTATTATTTATAATTTTAATTATTTTATGTAAATAAAAAAATATTTTATAAAACATGGGCTCTTTCCTTGGTGCGGGCTTGGATTTAAAAAAGAAAAACCCTGGACAAGCTTGGGTGAGCCCAACCCGGGCCGGACGTATTTACATCCCTTGTTTTGCCCCTTATTATAGTACATGGAGCCCACGAGGATGAAAATGATATTCTCTTTCAAAAGTAATTGTCAGACTTCCCAAATTCATATATCAAATTTTGCACTTTAAACAGAGATTCATCATTCAAACTTCTGGTCCTTTTTGGTTTGGTACTTTTCCAGCTTACAACTCATCTCTTAGTCTAAGTGGTTCGTCTGCTCTTTATTTTAAAGAATATATTTCGTATAAATAAAGAGAATTTTTATTAATTTTTAAATATAAAAAATAAATTTTTTATTTAAATAATTATTTAAATTTTAGAAGAGAGAATATATTTTTTCAAAAAAGAAAAAGAAAGATAAATAATAAATAAAATACATAAAATATTTTACCTAAAGTTATCTCATTTATATGATTACCAAAGATTGCTCAAGGCCTGCAGTGAACTGTAAAAGATGAAGCTCCCATCTTCCGTTCCAGTTAAATTTTTAGGTACATAAAATTAGTGGGCGGTAAGTCAACTGCAGTTTCCATTGTCTTTACATGATTTGAAAATTTATTAAGAATGATAAAATCATGAGTCAAATTCAACAATTACATCAACGGCTGAATAAGACTTTCCTGAGAAGACATTCAAGTGGTGACTGTTAGGTTGTAAAATTAGTTCTTGCAGTTGTGAATTCGAGCGAGGAACTTTTGAGTAGAAAAACAGTTAGGGTGCGTTTGGTTTAGTATTTTGGATAGGATTTTAGGGATAGTATTGGGTTATTGGATATGGGAGTATTACGAGGTAAATTTTAAAAATTTATAAAAAAGCCCTTAGGTTTACTAATTTAACTAAAGACCCTAACATGTAAAATGACAAAAACACCCCCACCATCTGCAGTGTCAGATTCCGGCCACCACCGCCGGAATCTGGCCGGAAAATTTCGTTACGGCACAGACTTGTCGGATCTGTGCCGTAACACGTCGTTATGGCCTTTTCCG